TCTTAAAATTGTTAGAAAAGCAATTTGAGGGGAAGAATTCCCCAACTGATGACCTGATGTGTCCCCTGCGTGGAACTTGGTGATGCCTGTAGAACACTGCTGAGGCTGCAGGGCTGTTGCTCTGAGCTCTGCCAAGGAAGGACAGACACACTGGACACTCCCAGGAAGCTTGTGACAGTTTTCTGCTACTTTTATGCACTGCTTTTGTTTAGTTGCTCAGTTGTGTCCGACTCTGCGACCCCATGAGCTGTAGCCTGCCAGGCTCCTCTGTCTGTGGAATTCTCCAGACAAGAATACTGGAGTGGGTAGCAATTCCTCCTCCAGAGAATTTTCCTGACCCAGAGATTGAACCTGGGTCTCTCGCGTTGCAGGCAGATTCTTTACAGTCTGAGCCACCTTCCAAAAGGAAGCCCCTTTTATGTACTAGAATCTGGTTAATTTAGGGAAAATTGAGTTGAAAAGAAAATGGTGGAGCCATTTCAACTCGTTTTCAGAGCCTACCTGGTCCCAAAATACTATCAGCCAGGAATATCAGTTAAAGTATTTTGCAACCTGTTTTAGTGATGGTTATCAATGTAACGCAGCCATCCATAACTTCCCATTTGTTATTTCCGTTTTTAAAAAGAAATTATTCATTCGGCTGCACGGGATGTTAGTTTCAGTATGCAGGATTTTCACTGTGGCATATGGGATCTAGATCCCCAAGTCAGGGATCGAACCCAGGTCCCCTGCATTGGGAACCCAGAGTCTGAGCCACTGGACCACCAAGGAAGTCTCCTATCTGTTACTTCATAGGGATGAGTACACGATGGCCTGTAGGAGTTTAAAATAAAAAAGGGGGAGGAGTCATGTTTATTTACATTTTACATGGAGTTCAATAACTCTTCTAAGATCACTACAGGCAGTTAAGTCAGGACTAGAAAGAACTTGAGAAAGCCCTAAGATACAAATCTGTTTATTTCCCCTCAATACATATAGCAGCCTCTATGAATCCCAAGTGAGCAAGATGTCTCCCCTTTCAGCAGTGTAACCTTTTAGAAGTTGATGTTATTCATGATTATTGAATGATTCACTCAGCAAACACCAGCTTTTGGCCAGTTGCTACATTGCATTCTAAGTCGCTTCAGTCGTGTCCAACTCTGCGACCCTATGGACTGTAGCCTACCAGGCTCCTCTGTCGGTGGGATGCTCCAGGCAAGAATACTGGAGTGGGTTGCTGTGCCCTCCTCCAGGGGATCTTCCCAACCCAGGGATGGAACCCGCGTCTCTTATGTCTCCTGAATTGGCAAGTGGGTTTACCCACTTTACCACTAGCGCCACCTGGGAAGCCTGGTTGTCACATTAGCCATGGGAGAAATCTGACATGAACACTTTCCAAAACTGTCCATCCAGAAGAGACCAACAAACACACAGATAAATAGAGACCCTGTCCCTTATGATTTGTACTCCTGTGTTCGTCTTTGTCCCTTGGGTCTGTCCAAACCTTCTATTTGATAGAAAAGGAAAATGAGGCTCAGAGAGTCTTGACTGACACAGCTCATTAGTGGCAAAAGTGAAATTTTGACCAGATAGCCTGACTTTTAGTTTCTAGGATTCATTTATTTTCTCATTTTAGACAACTGTGCGATAAAACAGCTAAGATGAGAGAACTCTGGCCGAAGTGTGTTGGAATTAAGCACGCTGAGAAATATCCATGATCCTTTTACAGAGTGACGATTAAAAATAAAGATGTCTTTTGTTGTTGAGTTTTCCTCTTTCATCATTTAGTATTTGGCCAACATGTGAACAACACAGACAGGCTATCGAGTGCTGAGCAAATTCATAAAGCAAACACAGGACAGAGGCCAGGATTTGGACCCAGAGGGAGGAAAGTGTAGGGCTGTGTGTGGAAGTTGGCTTTTCCCAAACACTCGTACTCTTAGCTTGGAGTAATTTGGACTCTGGTGGTGTTGTTGTCTAGTCGTGTCCGACTCTCAGTTAATGCCTAACATAAACTGTGGTGAACCTGGCCCATGACAGCCCTCCGGAGAGAGGGGCCCTTCCCTGTGTTGTCCCAGGAGTAATCCTCTGGTAGGGCAGGGTGGGAGGCAGCCGGATTCTTCTCCCCAAAGGGACACCTGTGATGTGTGTGCTAAAGAGCTTCTTCCACTCTTCTTCTCTCAACGCGTTCTTTGGTACAGCACGGGGCAGGCATGCAGAGTGCAGAAAGAACGCATCGCATGGACCAGACACCAATGACAGGCACACTTTGGGGATATCATGGCTCAGTTCCAGACCACTGCGAGAAAAAACAAGAGTTTTGGTTTCCTAGTGCATATTTCTTATTTAGTCTCTAAGTCGTGTCCAATCTTTGTGACCCTCTTGACTGTAACCCACAAGGCTCCTCTGTCCATGGCATTTCCCAGGCAAGAATACTGGAGTGGGTTACCATTCCTTCTTCAGGGGATCTTCTTGATGCAGGGATCAAACCCAGGTCTCCTAAATTGCAGGCGAGCCACCAGACTGAGCCACCAGGGAAGCCACCACCACATACAGTTTTTCAGATTCTTTCCCCTTATTGGCTGGTCCCATTATAGATGGAGGAGTGGAGAGTGAGACTAGTAATTGAGTTGTCAGTATTTCAGCTCCTGGGAAGGATATGTAATCACTGGACCAACTTTACAAAAGTTATTTTGTTGTTGAATAAATAAAAGGTGGTTTTGTAATTCATGAAAATAATTGTCATTCCCCCCCCCCCACAGCGATTAGTACGTGTGAAGTTGATTGCTACATGTTTTGCCTGTCACCCCTTTGTGACATGCTCCTCAATGGCCTGACAGCTGGCATGCTCCAGGGAGGTGATGGGTGTGGCCTGACACCATTTTATTTAGCCAGACATGCAAGCAATTTCAATGCTGACCTTTGTTCACTCACCCTCGACTTCTACATCAAGTGGTGAGGCTAGGCGTTCCCTGTCTTTGCTTCTGTTCGTATCCATCCAAAGTGTATTGACAAGTCAATTCTATTGTTAAGAATGGAATTGTTATAAAAATGGAAAAGAAGAATTCTTTATGTAACAAGGGGGGGGGTGTCCCAATTTCATTATTAACATCAAACAATTCCACTCTTTCAGGCTTGTGTTTCAAAGCAGCATGTCTTATGAAAAGCCTATTGTGTCGTGGTGAAGTTGACTGTGCTTGCTTAATCTTGGATACCTTCTGGCTAAAATTAATTTGCTAAAATATGAAAAATGAAAATGAAAATTAAAAATTTTACTCCCCTAGTGAGGCTCAAATGAAAAATGCATACAAATTATTTTTGATACCCTTTTTTTCCCCTTTAGAATAGACTAAGAATGCCAGTTCATTCTTTTGGAAAGATCAAGGTATGTGCTTGTAAAGACAAAGAGTGGAAAGGAATAAGGAAAACAAATTTTTAACTTTATTTAAGTGGCAGGAATGCAGGTACTTTATTTTTCTTTCTACCGTTGTTTGGGAAATTAAAAAATAACAAAGGAGGGAATTGCTTGGAGGTCCATTGTTTAGGACTCAGTGCTCTCATTGCTGGGGCTGGGGTTCAGTTGCTGGTGGGGGAACTAAAATCCTGGAAACAGAGCAACACAGCAAAAAAAAAAAAAAAAAAAGATGCAACATAAAACTATGTTTTGATAACAACATAAGACTTGCCCCTGATGTTGCACTTTTCTTTTGCAGTACATGGCTGTGCAACAAGTACCAAAATTGTTTTTCCTTTTAAAGGAAGAATTTCAATATGTTAAGTAATGCTACAAGTGGACAGTAATTGGTGAAAAATTTTAAGAATTTAGTTGTTGGATCTTAACTTATTTGCCCCTGATTTAGTACTCTTTTATGTGTTAGTCGCTCAGTCACATCCGACTGTTCGATCCCATGGACTGTAGCCCTCCAGGCTCCTCTGTCCATGGAATTCTCCAGGCAAGGATACTGGAGTGGGTAGCCATTTCCTTCTCCAGGGGTCTTCCTCTTTCAACAAAGATTAATGTCATTAAACTAAAAAGATTTCCAAATGGTACTAACTAAAAAGCCCGGCGAATGTTTTGTCAAGTTCACCAAAGCCCAATATTTAGCACATCAAATTATACATATAGTGTATATCTATATATATGCACCTGAAATGATACAAATAGCATCATCAGGGTTTAGCGTTATCCATCTAGCAGCCTGGCCTTTCTTCACACTCCCCCAGCAGGTGACAAATCTGCATCCAACATCCGCTCCCCTTCTAGAAGCCTTATCAGCAACCACGCACCCTTTTTCCGTGCTCCCTTCTTTCCCTGAGATCCAGTCACATGCCGTGTAAGAACTAACAGATCCCTGCTACACTCGATCCAACTCTCCCCAGTCAGAACATCCTGCAAGCTCACAACTAGGCTGCTGAGTAGATACAAGCAGGCTTTTCAAGATTTCCCCGGCTACACTTAGCACTTGTTTGTAGCTGTGCGTTCAGCTGATGCACTTTCTATAGCAACGTCTCCTGCATTTCTGCTATTTCAGCAGAAAAGATCCCTAGCATCTTCCTGGACACCTGGTTCTTAGCAGCCCAGACTCCCGCCCGGAAGTCTGAAGGACAGGCTCAGGCCCCTGGGAAAGCAAAGAAACGGGAACCACTCGCGGCCAGTCTCCCAGAGTCTCTGTCCTCAAGACCCAGACTGCAGAGGGGCGGAGACCCTCAAGGCGTCGGGAGCCGAAGGGCAGGGCTGAGGGCGGAGTCAGGGCGAGGGGCGGAGCGGGGCAAGGAGTGGGCGGAGTCAGCAGAGCTTGGGTGGGGCAGGTAGGGAGTGAGTGGAACCGGAGTTTGCTGAGGGGGGCGGGGTGGGGTCGAAGCTGAGGGCAGGGCAGAGTCAGGGCGTGGGTGGAGTCTGAGGTCGGTGGGAGGGGCATGCGTGGACTCGGATCTAAAGGCGGGATCAGAACTTGGGGGCTGGGGAGAGTCCAGGAGTGGGCGGAGTCTGAGATCGGCGGGGGCGGGGCTTGGGCTAACGGTCCAAGGCTGTCCTCTCGCGGCGACCGTCGAGCGCTGGGACTGTGGGCAGAACGCGCTGTGGAGAAGAAGCCGAATTCCGGCCGAGCGGGGGAGGCTTCTGGGCGGGGCCTGCGTGCGGCTGGCTGCTGTCCAAGAGCGAGAGCGTCTAGGTGAGCGCTCCCGGGAGCAGCCGGCGCGGACGCTGAGGGGAAGCCGGGTGGCGGCTGGCGGCGGGCCGTCGTCTGTTCCTGAGGGCAGACCTCTGGGCCGCGCCGTCTGCGGTGGGAACGGTCTCCCTTCCAGGCTGCCCGCGGGCTCCTCGGGTGGCGGTCACCCCGGTGCCCTCGAGAGGTGGAAGCCGGCGGGTTGCGGTTCGGGGGACGCGCCGGGGTGCGAGCCGGGGTGCGAGCCCGGGTGAGAAGTGGGCAGCTGACCGCGGAGTCACAGTCATGTAGGAACACAGGACACGGGTGGAGTGTGCTCGTCCGCGTGGCGCGGCGAACGTAGACGCGCGGGTGTAATCGATGCGGGGGTATAAGCGCGTCCTGAGGTAACTAACTCAGTGCATCACCCGCCCGCTTCCCCCAACCCCACCCAGCCTGGCTGACGCGCGGCCGTTCTGTGGGGTTGACAGGTGTGTGCAGACACGTGCGCACGGGCACCGGCCCTGGAGGTCCCCACCCACGACTCACACCCCGCTCCCCGCCACCTCGGGCGCCCTCTCCACAGTGTTCCCTATTCTAGAGTGTCCTAGATTTGGAATCTTCAGGTACATTTTAAAACGTGAAGGGTTTAAAAGGGACGGTTTTTAATCCCTGTGTGCAAGTCTTGTCCCTTCCTCCCTCTCTTTCGTTCTTTTTTTCAAAGCAGTGTTTGGTTAAAAAAAATTAAGACTACCTTGAAAGTTTACTAGCAAGCGCACTTTTGGTCTCTGTGCTGGTGAGTTCTCTGGTGATGGCCGGTTGCCCGTTTTCTTATAGCCAACCCAGAGTATGCAAAATTTGCTGAGTTCCCACTGAAGGAGTAAAAATTACCCTCTTGAATTGGATTTATAAAAATAATTGAACAACTGTTCCCCTCTCGGCAAGGTGGCCAACTTTGTCAAAGTTTGTTAAAAAAAAAAAAAAAAAAAAGTCTTTGGTTTGTGATGGAAGTTTGGGGGGATTTTCACGTACCGAAATAACCACATAAGATGACTTCTCTGTAGCAGCTCCAGCACAGGTCTGTAGAATAAACTAGACGATTATATAGGACCATCAATGCCAGCTCTTTGGAAGCTCTGTTGATCTAGAATAGTAGGTTACAATTTGTACTTGTTTCTATAATTTAAATGCTGGACATAAATGTAAAATTAGTTAGTAACTAAAATTCTGTTTACCCAGAAAGTAAATTGTAGCAATATTATTCTCAAATTACAAATCCGGTTTCTTTTAGGACTCATTCATTAATTTAGTCAACAAATAGCTAGCAGCTACTATGCCTGAGGTGCTAGCCTAACTAGGCACTGTAGGACACAGTAAGGGCAAGGCAAGGCACAGCCCTGTCATCCTGAGCCCCATCCTGTAATGAGGGAATTGAGAATGCTGAAAGAAGGAATGGAGGCTGGGGGATACTCGAAGGAGGGTGATAAGATCTTCTCTTTGAGACCCGCAAAATGTTAAAGCTCTTGTCTTGGGAGGATCTGAGGGTGGGATTGGAGAGGATGCTCGAGGAAGATGAAACTGTGTGCCAAGGTCCCAGGTCCCATTTGTGAAAAGGAGAGCTGCTGAGGTATCTGGAGAGTGGTAATCAACTGTGGGGGGTGGGGGGGGAGATGATGTGTATCCAGTGTCTCTAGTATAGGGCCAACCTCATAATAGGCATTCTACAACTATTACCTGTGACTTGGCCACCAGTTTACGTTAACTGGACTAGTTCCTCCACCGCCTTTCCCTTTTACCTTGTCAAGGAGCTGGGTCTGTGGTCTTGGGGCTGTACATGTCTAGCCCCACACCTGGCACTGTTTTTTTTTTTTTTTTTGCTTTTCTCTGAGCCGCCCCTCCTGTCCTGATTCACTACCTGATACATGTCAGACACTCAACTCATATATGTTGAATGAATAAACTATGTATAAGATTAGGTAATAGCAGTACTCTAGATGAGGAATGACTGACCCTTGGACTGAGGAGATGGCACTGGAGATGGATAAACAGAGACTTTTTAAATATATTTTGAAAATAGAAGGGACAGCAGTTGCTGATGAATGGTTGTAATCTCTTAATCACCATACTGGCCTCTTTATTTCGTGTTAATTTTGTATTTCTCAAAAACCTAGAGAAGTAAGTTGTCATTTTCTTTTTGTAGACAGACACTAAAGTATATCACCGTATATTTTGATTAACAGTAGGAAGTGAAGGAACTTCAAAGAGTTCATGTGATATTCCTCTAAGTAAGTAACCACCAAGAGATGTTAAGGGGTAAAATTTTGGAGAACTCAGTATGTAGATGGATAGTATTTTTACACAAAATCTGGCTACTGAATAGTTTTTCTTCTCTAACCTCAAGTGTTTAGCTCTTGGCAGGCTCTCAATAAGTGTTGGCTGAGTGGATGGATGAATGAATGAATCTGTCAGGCTGGTAAGTATTTCAGAGACTGAAATTGCATAGTGAGCCAGATCAGACTCAGCTGAAAAATAAGTAGGACCTTAACACTGCTAAATTGTTTATTCTGGCTTGAATGCAGAAACTGCTACATTAGATAAGAATGAAAAGCAGTGTTCTCATCTGTCAAGAGCCTGTGGACATCTTGGCTCTTTATGTACACTATTTTGAATTCTCACAACAACCTTGGAGGGTAGATGTTATCCATATTTTTTGGATGAGGAGATTAAAGCTCAGTAATTCAAAACATTTGACTACAAATTAGTGGCGCTGGAATTCAAAATCACATTTGAGTAATTGTGCAGCCTTCTTGAAACATGCTATGCAATGTGTCCTGGAGTACACACTGGAGATGTGTACAGCCTGGAGATGAGGGCATTCACTGTTAAAGAGGCCACATAAAATGAAGTGAAATCAAGTAAATCTGCTAGTTGGGTGTAGCTGACAGCTGTTATTACTACACTAAAACCTTTCCTAGTGACTAAGTTGAGGGACAAGTCTCTGTTTCATTTATCTCATGTTTATTGACTGCTTTTTATGTGGAAGGTAGCATTGAAATGCACTCACAAATTGTGTGTAAGATGCTACCTCTGCCCTGATGGAGCTTATTTACCAATAGAGGGGAGGGTGAAGTACTGCCTATCCCCATACACAGTGTAACTAAAAGCACGATTCAAGGTGGTTACAGTGTAGTTTTGCTATGTTTTTTTTTTTTAAAGTAGGCTTTATGGTAATAAATATTTAAATCTGCAAATGTCCCATTGTATCATCTCTCATCTGAAACTCTAAATTTGCTCAAACATTGACTAATTTGTTTTTGCAAAGTGTAACGATAACCCAATATGCAAAATAGAAAAAGAGACACAGATGTACAGAACATACTTTGGGACTCTGAGGGAGAAGGCGAGGGTGGGATGTTCTGAGAGAATAGCATTGAAATAAGTATACTATCAAGGGTGAAACAGATCACCAGCCCAGGTTGGATGCATGAGACAAGTGCTCAGGGCTGGTGCACTGGGAAGACCCGGAGGGATGGGATGGGGAGGGAGGCAGGAGGGGGGATCAGGATGGGGAACACATGTAAATCCATGGCTGATTCATGTCAATGTATGGCAAAAACCACTACCATATTGTAAAGTAATTAGCCTCCAACTAATAAAAATAAATGAAAAAAAAATTGAAACCTAACTATATTGTTCATAACTTTAAAAGACCTTTTAAAAACATGCTTTTTACAGGTTGAATCTAACTTACATATCACTGTTGTAATATAAAATTTTTCTGGAACTTCCTTGGTGGTCCAGTGGCTAAGATTCTGAGCTCCCAATGCAGGGGGCATGGATTCGATCCCTGGTCAGGGAACTAGATCCCACATGCCACAGCTAAGAGTTTGCATGCTGCAACTAAAAATCCCACCTTCCACAACTATAGACTGAAGGTTCCTCATGCCGCAGTGAAGATCGAAGGACTTAACAAGCTGCAACTAAGATTTAGTGCAGCCACTTAAATGAAGTTTTCCCAAAGAATGAGAATATCCCATACTTTCCTAAATAAATTCTTTTTTCAGTCTTGGAATTTTTCAAGATTTATTTCAGTTGTTTAACTTATGCATCTAAATTATATTTTCTAAAATGCAGATAACAGAATGGCCAACTCCATTGCATCAAAGAACTTTACTGCACTTTCAAATCTGCATCCAAATATGGCTAATCTGGTAAGTTTCAGCAGTGCAGTAGTTCATCTGTTCTCTGTTGAAGCTTTAGGTGGTGATATTACAGTATGTCAACATTATTGATTCATTTCAACACATGCTTGTATAATTGACAAGTATACAGATACTCATTGTACTAGTGATTGTTAGATATTAAATGCTCCTAAACCTCTTTGTATTTATGCCAGCTAAATGAAAATTAGTCTTTTTTTGTCTGCACATTAGGAGATTATAGATATGACTAGTAATTGTTAAAAATTATTGGAAGTTTATTTGTATTAATTATATATAGCAAAAAGTTAGACACAACTTCACGACTGAACAACAACAAACTAAATATTTAATATGCAGTCAAATTTAGCATGGCAAAATTAAGCATTTTTGTTAAGCAGCGTCTATTGTCCAATCAAACTGTTCAAGTTATATACTGAAATACTTGTTATTATGTTGCTTTTGTGACATAAAAGTACACAAAAGATGTGTTTCTGAAATCATTGTGTGAAAATTAATTTTGGCGAGAAGGGTTGTGGGGGCACCAGTCATTTCAAATTTGCCAAGATTGTTATTTATTTGAAAGGAATCTAGGTGGAATCATATTATAAGGTGAAGAACTTACTATAAAGCAATTATCATACTCCCTTATCTTTCCTATCCCCAGCAGTCTGCTGTTTACATTTGGAATGTGTAAATCAGATTTCTTAAAATGAAATAAATTACACATAACTTTAATAGTTTGCAATTTAAACTTTATTAATGTTAAAAATAATTATCACTGTTACAGTTTTTCTTGAAAGGTAAACTCTTTGCTAATTGCCTCTTCAGTTAGAAAATTTTACTCAATATTCCCATTAGTTGTTTTCCTAACAAAATTCAGTGAGAGCTGCAGCATATGGAATTTTAAAAAATAATAACAGTGTGTCTAAATATAATAAGACTAGCTAATAGCTCAGCTAGGATGTGGTAGTCTTAAAAGCTTGCATGTATTTAAAATTGAACAGATTATTGCAAGGTTAAAGTCAGTTGCTAGAATTATGTGATATAAGTTCATCCTTTCAGAAAAAGATAGTTATTTTTATTTTTAAAAGTATTTTAAAATATTTAATATTTAACTTTTCTTTGTTAGTCACTAAAGAGAACATTAAAAATATTAAAGACATGTTAATACCTTTAAGATCTAGGACTTTAGAGCTTAGATTTATTAGCAGTGATATGCAAGTTTTGTTACAATCTAATATATGTTACTGTCCAGCATGTTTGCATTAAGAAGCTAAGCAATTTTATGTGGATTGTTAGAAACCCGTATATAAAAGAAAGCTTTGAAGACCATGGCAAATTAAATTGCATTATACATGTGCTTTGAATGAATTCAGTAAGAATTGATAGCATAGGGCAGTTACTGTGCTCCACCTAGTGATTGAAAATAAAGTAGAAACATACTAAGTATTAAATGATTATATTTGTAATAGCAGTTAACTGTCTTATTACTTTGTACTATTCCTTGTAGAATGAACATTTATGAAGTTCTTTTAGATGTTTGTCTGGAATAAATACATTTAAATGGTTCCTAGTCAAAAATGTTTGTTAGAGCCAGTAAAATATAACAAGTCCATGAAATTAAATTTACCATCTCCATCTGTGTTTAATATTCGTCTTCTATAACCTTTTTGTTTTTCAGAAAATAATCGGCATAGTTATTGGAAAAACAGATGTCAAAGGCTTTCCAGACAGAAAAAGCTGAGTTCTATTTAACTAACTCTTTGCTTCATTTTTCATCAACTGTGGCTTATGACTACAACAAAGTATATTTAAGTGATTAAATATGTCATGCCTGTTTAACTCCCTAAGAGCAATGGCCATGTTCTCTATTGCATGGTAAAGTACTTGATTTAAGGCCACATGTGTGAGGGCATTAAAATCATTTTAATGGTTTTATTTGATATTTCTAAAGCATAACTTTAAAAGCTGTGTATACAGTATTAAAATAGCTAGTTAAATTGGTCAGCTCATTAATGTGTATCAATGTGTACTTTCTGAGCTCCTCTTTTGTGCAAAACCCAGTGTTAAGACTGGAGAAAGAAGTTGTAGTCTCTCTCATCATCCTCAGATATCAGAGCATCTGAGAGGATGGACGTGGAGCCAGATTGACAGGGCTCACCCCTGAGTCTGTCCTGTGCAGAGCCACAGAATCAGGGTAAACAAAGCTGGGATGAGACTTACATGAGCTTCTACATGTAAGAGTGTGTAACATAGAGTAGAAACGCCATGTAAACTGTCAGTAACAGATACAAGGACACAGGTAAATCTCATAGAAAACAGAAAGTGGTAGGAGGCCATCCAGCATGGATGTCAAGACAGTGTTGAGGGAGGGAAGTATGCAGCAGTATCTGTGTATTTATTTGAAGAACTAAATGATTCAAGGGGGAAAAATCATCTTTCATATGTGGGAAATACAGTTAAGTCTGGCTTTAGTGGTCCTTATTTAGTTGTCTGTGCAACAGTTTTAGGACTATGGAAATATAATCCATGACTAAAACAGATTTTTAAAATCAACTGACCTTCAGGGACTTCCCTGGCTGTTCCCGGATGTCCAATGGCTAAGACTTCAACCTCCCAATGCAGGGGGCCCAGGTTTGATTTCTAGTCAAGGAACTACATGCTGCGAGGAAGACCGAAGATCCCACGTGCCGCAGCAGAGACCAAAATAAATAAGTAAAATCAACTGATCTTCAGACTTTTATAGTTTACATGCAGAGATACAATATAGAATACCAAAAGTAGCAATACACTATTACTAACTTCTAAAGTGTCAGTGCTTTTTATTAAAGGGTATGGTATAAATCCTTTGATACAGCTTGAGGGAATCAGAGCTCTAGTTAGCCAGCCAGTAATTTTGACAGAAGACAATTTTGTTTGAATCACCTGAGTAATTGTGGCTGTGTTAATTGACTTGTGGTATAGTGACAGGTGGGCTTCCCTGGTGGCTCAGTGGTAAAGAATCCGCCTGCAATGCAGTAGACCTGGGTTCAGTCCCTGGGTCACAAAGATCCCCTGAAGAAGGAAATGGCTACCCACTCCAGTATTCTTGCCTGGAGAATTCCAGGGACAGAGGAACCTAGCAGGTTACAGTCCATAGGGTTGCAGAGAGTCAGAAACTACTGAGTGAGCATTACACACATGTATACCATATTAAAGGGAAAATTTCTTTTTTGATTTGATTTTTTATATATTTATCTCTTTTATTTTTGGCTGTGCTGGGTCCTTGTCGCTGTGCACAGGCTTTCTCTAGTTGTGGTGAGCAGGGGCTACTCTTTGCTTTCTCTAGCTGCTGTTCTCTGGCTTCTCATTGCTGTGTCTGCTCTAGGGTGTGGGACTTCAGTAGTTGCAGCAGGTGGGCTCAGTAGTTGTGGCTCCCAGGCTTAGTTGCCATGCGACATCTGGGATCTTCTTGAACCAGGGATCGAACCCATGTCCCCTGCATTGGCAGGTGGATTCTTTTACCACTGAGCCACCAAGGAAGGCCCCTATTTTCATTCTTTATGACGATAGTCATTCTGACAGGTGTGAGGGAATAGCTCATTGTGGTTTTAATTTATATTTTCGTGATAATTAGTGATGTTGAGCATCTTTTCATGTGCCTGTTGGCCATCTGCATTTCCTGTTTGGAAAAAATGCCTATTCAGTTCTTCCTATTTTTTTAAATTGGGTTGTTAGGGTTTTTTTTGTTGTTGTTGTTAGGGTTTTTTTATGTTGAGCTGTATGAGCTAAAGATTTATGTTGGATATCAATCCCTATTGGTCATATCATTAGCAAATAACTTTTCCCATTCAGTAGGTTATCTTTTCCTTTGCTATGCAAAAGCATTTAAGTTTAATTAGTTTCCACTTTTTTATTTTTATTTTAGGAGTGGATCCAATAAAGTACTGTTATAATTTATGTCAAAGTATGTTCTGCCTATGTTTTTCTCTAGGAGTTTCATGATACCTGGTCTTACATTTAGGTCTTTAATCCATTTTGAGTTTATTTTTGTATATGGTATTAGAGAATGTTCTAATTTCACTCTTCTACATGTAACTGTTCAGTTTTCCCAGCACTACTTATTGAAGAAACTGTCTTTTTGCCATTGTATATTCTTGCCTCCTTTGTTGTAGACTAATTGACTGTAATTGTGTGGGTTTATTTCTGGGCTTTCTATCCTATTTCACTGATCTGTGTGTCTGTTTTTGTGTCAGTATCATGCTGTTTGTATTTCTTTTTAAAATTTTTAAATTTATTAATGGAAGGAAAATTACTTCACAATATTATGTTAATTTCTGCCATACAACAATGTGAATAAGACATGGTTATACATACATTCCCCTCCCTCTTGAGTCTCCTTCCCTTCCCCCAATCTCACCCCTCTAGGTCATCATGGAGCACCAGGCTGGGCTCTCAGTTAAATAGCAGCTTCTCACCAGCTATCTGTTTTACACATGATAGTGTATATATGTCAATGCTACTTTCTCCATTCATTCCACACTCTTCTTCCCCCACTGTGTCCACAAGTCCGTTCTCTACATCTATGTTTTCCCTACAAATAAGATAATCAATGCCACTTTTCTAGATTCCATACATATATGTTAGTATACGATATTTGTTTTTCTCTTTCAAACTTACTTCACTCTGTTTAATAGGCTGTAGGTTCACCCATTTCACTAGAACTGACTAAAATTCATTATTTTTATGGCTGATTCTACACATGGACAGGATTCTTTGGTGGCTCAAGTGGTAAAGAATTTGCCTGCGAAGTGGGAGACCTGGGTTTGATCCCGGGGTTGGGAAGATCCTCTAGAGAAGGGAATGACAACCCTCCTCCAGTATTTTTGTATTTTGTGTCTCCAATATTTTTGCCTGGAGAATTCCATGGACAGAAGAGCCTGGCGGGCTATAGTCCATGGGGTCCCAAAAAGTCGGACACGATTGAATGACTAACACTTTTAACACATTACACATGGGCATTATCAGATGGTCAACACCAAAATCAGATTGATTATATATGTACCACATCTTCTTTATCCATTCATTATATTACTTTTTAAATTAGCAACAACAATAAAGAAATTTATTTTGGAATTTATTCTGGAAAGAAGTGCTTACTGACCCCTAGTGGTATATTTTAGCTAGCACACATTTATTTGTTTTGAAATAATTTAGATCTGAATTATGACTTAGGTTAAAACAACAGTAAGAGAGAAATGGAGAATATAAACTAAAATCAGGATGGTTCAAACCTCCATGTTATTTCCCTTTGAATATAGAGGTAACTAGGGGAAGGGAACAGAGTGAGGTGAATTACCTACCTTGGCAGCTTTGCAATTCTTAAAGCATAACGTTGTAGAATTTACATCTGAAATAATTTTTTATATCATTTGTTTGAGTGTTTTAGCATCATAATAATCACCTTTGTTTAAAATTAAAACTTTTCATCTGAAAAATAAAAGCTTTGGTTTTCCCTTAGATATTGGATCAGAAAGGTACACTTTCAGTTTCACCATCCGTGATTCAACAACCCATTTTGTAAATGCAATATCCTGGGGCAGTGAAGATTATATAAGATCACTTTCTGACAGCTTTAGACTCGGTGAATGTGGTAAGTTGGCACTGATTCTTAAACTGTTTCTCTTACAGTATTATTCCCATGATATGTTTGTGGTGACTACACTGAGGGCATCGGAGTGAAATAAGACACAATTCTTATTCTCAAGAATCTTATCAGAAAAAAGTCAAGTGTTAAGAGTATAATACAAGGCACTCAGCATTCAGTTGAAACTACAAACAGAATAATCACATACTTTTACTAGGAGCTCTATACTCTTTGGTTTATTTCTATTTCACATTGCATCAGTCCCTCTTGTGACTGTAATCATTTATCTTTTTGTAAACATATAATGGAACTGCTAAGTAGACTTTGATAAAAGATGACATGAATTTTTGATGGAATTTTAAGAAACTTTTAGTCTAAAATAGCAAATCTTCATATCCTCTATTTCCCTACAAATAAGATAATCAATGCCACTTTTCTAGATTCCATACATATATGTTAGTATACGATATTTGTTTTTCTCTTTCAAACTTACTTCACTCTGTTTAATAGGCTGTAGGTTCACCCATTTCACTAGAACTGACTAAAATTCATTATTTTTATGGCTGATTCTACACATGGACAGGATTCTTTGGTGGCTCAAGTGGTAAAGAATTTGCCTGCGAAGTGGGAGACCTGGGTTTGATCCCGGGGTTGGGAAGATCCTCTAGAGAAGGGAATGACAACCCTCCTCCAGTATTTTTGTATTTTGTGTCTCCAATATTTTTGCCTGGAGAATTCCATGGACAGAAGAGCCTGGCGGGCTATAGTCCATGGGGTCCCAAAAAGTCGGACACGATTGAATGACTAACACTTTTAACACATTACACATGGGCATTATCAGATGGTCAACACCAAAATCAGATTGATTATATATGTACCACATCTTCTTTATCCATTCATTATATTACTTTTTAAATTAGCAACAACAATAAAGAAATTTATTTTGGAATTTATTCTGGAAAGAAGTGCTTACTGACCCCTAGTGGTATATTTTAGCTAGCACACATTTATTTGTTTTGAAATAATTTAGATCTGAATTATGACTTAGGTTAAAACAACAGTAAGAGAGAAATGGAGAATATAAACTAAAATCAGGATGGTTCAAACCTCCATGTTATTTCCCTTTGAATATAGAGGTAACTAGGGGAAGGGAACAGAGTGAGGTGAATTACCTACCTTGGCAGCTTTGCAATTCTTAAAGCATAACGTTGTAGAATTTACATCTGAAATAATTTTTTATATCATTTGTTTGAGTGTTTTAGCATCATAATAATCACCTTTGTTTAAAATTAAAACTTTTCATCTGAAAAATAAAAGCTTTGGTTTTCCCTTAGATATTGGATCAGAAAGGTACACTTTCAGTTTCACCATCCGTGATTCAACAACCCATTTTGTAAATGCAATATCCTGGGGCAGTGAAGATTACATAAGATCACTTTCTGACAGCTTTAGACTCGGTGAATGTGGTAAGTTGGCACTGATTCTTAAACTGTTTCTCTTACAGTATTATTCCCATGATATGTTTGTGGTGACTACACTGAGGGCATCGGAGTGAAATAAGACACAATTCTTATTCTCAAGAATCTTATCAGAAAAAAGTCAAGTGTTAAGAGTATAATACAAGGCACTCAGCATTCAGTTGAAACTACAAACAGAATAATCACATACTTTTACTAGGAGCTCTATACTCTTTGGTTTATTTCTATTTCACATTGCATCAGTCCCTCTTGTGACTGTAATCATTTATCTTTTTGTAAACATATAATGGAACTGCTAAGTAGACTTTGATAAAAGATGACATGAATTTTTGATGGAATTTTAAGAAACTTTTAGTCTAAAATAGCAAATCTTCATATCCTCTAGCTACCCCAGTATCTCTGTGATAGTACAGTATAGTATATTCAAAAGAACAAGACTTTGAGAACAGGTAGATCTGGATTCAAATCCAAATACTAACACTTATTTATATAGTGGCTTTGAGAAAATTTCATAATCTTGTTGAGCCTCAACTGTGAATTAATACCCAGTAGATTCTTATGAATCTTAAATGAGTTAGTGTGCCTGGTATGAAGTGTAGAACTTAGTCACTCAATAGATAACAGCTCTAGCCTCATACAATAAACAAGAAAGCAGTATACCAGCTCTCTTTCATGGTAGAAAAAAGAAGAGAAAGAGTAACACAGACAATTAAACTACTCCTCTCTAATCCTGCAATATCGAGCATCCTATTACCCATACTGATTACTCAGCACCCAATCATACTATTAACTTCAGGGTTATATAGTATCTTGCTAACTGAATAATAAGGTAATTGGACATATGGACTGTGAAGGCAGAAAACTCTGCAGATGTCTCAGGGCCCCGGACAAGCAGAAGCATCTGTGGATGCGTGCCAGAACAACACTTACCTAGAGCTGAAGATACATTCGATGGTAACCTGCATTCTACACTGATGCTTGTTGTCAGGACGAGTGAGATGAGGGATTATAAGGATGTAAATCTGACGATGCTTATAAAACTAAATAAGAGTTTTCTGTGGCTGAGTAAAAAGATTATATATTTTTGAATCAAAACAATTTTAACTCTACTACTTTCTAGATATAACACCTCAAGAAAATTATTTAACCTCTGTGAACCTCAATTTCTTCACTTGGAAAAAGGGATAATAAAGGGATGGTTGTGTGAGGAATTAACAAAATGCAGCACAAAATGTCTAACATAGACTATAGGAAATGGAAACCCTAAACTATTAAGTCATAAAGCTGATAAGTTGTAAGTTTCAAATCAGGACCCAGATTTTGCACTGCTCTTTCTAACTACCACTGTTGTTTTTGAGAACAACTGTGAATTGGGTGAAGATCAATTTAAGTGCTCATTTTATAGCAGGACATGTTGTAACCACATCAAATGTTCTGTATAACTAGTCAACAAAGTAATATTTTTTTAACAAAAGAATATTAATGCAGGTCATATGCCAGAATTTAAACACAAAGTATAAGAAATATCATGAGACCAAATTGATTGGTCATACCCTAGGATTCCACTGGTCACAGCAAAACAAACAAACAAAAAAAATTTTGAAGAATATTAAAGCAACTCAAAATTAGAAATAATATTGTAATTTTCACTGTTACGTACACTTGTTTTTTAAATTTATCCTGTTACTTTTTTGGTAATAACATCATATTTTCCCCTCTGTTATAGTGATTATTGAGAATCCTCTGATCCAAACAAAGGAATTAGAAAGAGAAGAAAAGTTCAGTCCTGCAACTCCTAGGTAAATCCAGCACAGAGGTCAACAACCTTTGTGCCAGAATGATTATTACTAATAGGTTTGTGTGTGTCAGATTAGCTGGGAGTGGTGTAGGGGCTTCCCCAGTGGCTCAGATGGTAAAGAACCTGCCTGCAATGCATGGGTTCTATCCCTGGGTCGGGAAGATCCCCTGGTGAAGGCAGTGGCTACCCACTCTAGTATTCTTGCCTGGATAATTCCATGGACAGAGAAGCCTGGCAGGCTACAGTCCATGGTGTCACAAAGAGTCGGACACAACTGAGTGACTAACACTTTCATTTTTTTCACTTACTAAAGATATGTGTACTTCAGGTTGAAAATTCAGAGTTTAATTCTGCCACACAGTATTTATTTTTGATTATGAAATAATTTACCTTGACATAGGATCACATAGGAAGTGACTTTATTTTTAATACGTTGATTCTCATTCTTCCCTGGTGGCTCACACGGTAAAGAGTTTGCCTGCAATGCAGGAGACCCGAGTTTGATCCCTGGGTCAGGAAGATCTCCTGGAGAAGGAAATGGCAACCTACCCCAGTATTCTTGCCTGGAGAATCCCATGGACAGAAGAGCCTGGTGAGCCCCAGTCCATGGGGTTGCAAAGACTGAGCAACTAACACTTCACTTTTCATTCTTAGATTTACAGAAATGTGACTCATCATATTAAACCTGAAGAGTGAAAAAATAAATCTTAGAAGTCATATATCCATTTTACATCTCAGTTTATGACTCTCTTCACATGGTTTACTCTCTTAGTTCAGGTTCCCTGGAAGAAGAGTTCAGAGAAGACTTCTCTGCAGATGGTTTGTTGAGGCAGAGCTCTCAGAAGCAGCCTGGATGGAGAAGGCAATGGCAACCCACTCCAGTACTCTTGCTTAAAAAATCCCTTGGAGGGAAGAACCTGGTAGGCTACAGTCCATGGGGTCACAAAGAGTCGGACACAACTGAGTGACTTCACTTTCACTTTTCATCTTCTTTTCTTAGAATCCTGCTTGTAGCAGGGATCTGATGCCATATGGAGGTACACTTCCTTACCATCAGGATATGGACCTGTGGTGTTGTACAAAACTCCATTTTCCTCATTAAAGGTATACAAAAGTCTAAAAAAAATAAAAAAAGAAGCAGCCTGGAAAGACAGCCACGAGGGAGGAAGGGGTAACAAAGCGGCAGGTTCAGCAGGAGCCCCACTCATCCTGACCCGGGTGGGAGCTCTGGAGCATCAGTTGCACCTCAGAGTGCTACCCTCTGAAGAAAAGGGCCTGGGCTTTGGTACCCTGAATTTACAGGTTGTTGGCTGAAGTCTGCCCATGCTCTGGTGGAGGCACTTCTGGCCGAGGGCAGATCTGGAGAGAGGGTGTAGCTGGTGAAGGGCCCAGGTGGGCACAGCAGTCTCTACTACATGCGCCTGCACACCTTTTGACCTCATCTTACAGGCCTCATTTATCTGCAGCCACATGTAAAGTCCTTGCTTTGTGAACATCCTGGCTCATTCTACGCTAACAGCATGGCGTGTTCACGTCCCTCTGCAGAGAACAGTCTTATTTGCTCTTCTCACTCAAGTGTCGGGCTTCCCTTGTGGCTCAGCTGGTAAAGAATCCACCTGCAATGCAGGAGACCTGGGTTCCATCCCTGGGTTGGGAACGTCCCCTGGAGAAGGGAACCGATATCCACTCCAGTATTTTGGCCTGGAGAATTCCATGGACTGTATAATCCACGGGGTCGTATCCATGGGGTCGTAAAGTCTGACACAACTGAGCGACTTTCACTTTTCACTCAAGTGTCAGCTTAAATGTCACCTCCTTAGGTCTTCCACATCTACTCCATAGTAGCCCATTCAGTTCCCATTACTATGACTTAGTCCTGTACACAGGGTTATAGGTACCATCATAACGGTGGCGCTAGTGGTAAAGAACCTGCCTGCCAATGCAGGAGACACAAGAGACGTGGGTTCTATCCCTGGGTCAGGAAGATCCTCTGGAGAAGGAAATGGCAACCCACTCCAGTATTCTTGCATGGGAAAATCCTATGGACAGAGGAGCCTGGCAGGCTACATACAGTTCATGGGGTTGGAAAAAGTTGGACACAACTGAAGCAACTTAGCAAGTGACACTGATCACAAGCCTGAATCATTTGATTAATTGTTCTTGTCTGTCTCCCTCTCACGCATGTGAGCACTGTGAGGTCATAGATCTTGTCTGTCTTCCTCACCACTTATCCCCCGGGCCTGGACTGCTGTCTAGCAGATAGTTGGCTCTCAGGAAGTGTTTGTGGAGCGAAGGCGTGAGTGAAGGGGAAGAGCACTCCTGGCAAAGGGGACAAACACAAAATCTCTTGGCCTTTTCCAGAACAGTTAGTCGTCTGAACCTCATGAAACTGTTGATACTCAACTTTCTTTTCCTCTAAAATGGCAGTTTCATAGCCTCGGAATCTGATGTGGCTGGAGTATAGGTAGGGGAACAGCAGGAGAAGAAGCAAGAGAGGGAAGTGGAGACCCTTCACAGACAGCTTTGCTTTTTGTATCAGTTTCATTCTTTGGTGATAGCTAGCCCAGAAGATCTTTGAACTGGAAAATAAAATATTCATATTCATGGTTTAGGAAGGTCACTTTGGCTACCTGAGGAGGACCAACTGTAGGGGAATGAAGCTTAGGAGACAAGACAGTAATTTGGGTAAGAAGTTATGAGGTAAACACCTAAAGCAGTATCGGGGGAGGAGGCGGGGGTGGCTGGAATAGAGGGTAAGAAAGAGGCTCTGTGGAGCACACTTGGGAGTTAATTGGCCAAAGGGAAGAGCACCTCAAGTTCAGCATGTACATACGGTGCATCTGTTCCTACAGAGCTCCAAAAGTGAGAGTGAAAGTCACTCAGTCCTGTCTGACTTTTTGTGACCCTGTATAGTCCTTGGAATTCTCCAGGCCAGAATACTGAGTGGGTATCGTTTCCCTTCTCCAGGGGATCTTCCCAACCCAGGGATTGAACCCAGGTCTCCCACATTGTAGGCAGATTCTTTACCAGCTGAGCCACAAGGAAAGCCCAAGAATACTGGAGTGGGTAGTCTATCCCTTCCAGCGGATCTTCCTGACCCAGGAATCAAATTGGGGTCTCCTGCATCGCAGGCTAATTCTTTACAAACTGAGCTATCAGGGAAGCCCATAGAGCTCCAAAGAGGTCAGGAAAGCATGTAGGTGGCACAGTCAGTGTCACAGAGATGGAACTCAATCACCCCCTAACACACAATGTTTTAGAGTGCTTTTACATCCTTTTTAAAAATTTTTTTTTTACAAAGAAAGAAACTGAAACTCAGATTATTGGGCAAGATCAGACTATTAGTGTGCTTGAAACTCAGACACTAATTGGTCTTTAAAACATTTTCTTAGTGAGAATAGATTTTATACAAAAAGTATTTTACAGTTTTTCAGTGTTTCTAAGAGGACTTCCCTGGTGGTCCACTGGTTAAGAATCCACCTTCAAATGCCGTGGATGCAGGTTCAATCCCTGATCAGGAAACTAAGATCCCACGTGTGGTAGGACAACTAAGCCCACGTGCTGCAACAGGGATCCCACATGCTGCAATTAGCACTCAAAGCAGCAAAGTGGTGTTTAAACCACTTTCTTAATGCAAATAGGTTTTATACAAAAAGTATTTTACAGTTTTTCAATGTTTCTAAGAGTGAAAAGTATAAATCTTAATATAGTTTTTAAAATAATAGTTCAAATTACAGCCCAAATTTAGCTGTAAACTTTGAAATATTTTTCTTTTAGAAATCATTTGATGTTAACTTTGTGTGTGTGTTTTTACAATTTAGTGATTATAAACTATTGCTCAGTGAGAATCACTCAACGGTGAAACTCTGTTCCAGTTACGAAGTGGATGCCAAGTTACTTTCTTTGATATACTTACCTGTTAAAGAGTCTTGTGATTATTATTCACTGGGTGACATTGTTGCGAATGGACACAGTCTTGATGGGAAAATTATTAATGTCCTTGCAGCTGTGAGGTCGGTAAGTTAAAACCCCAACAAAGCCCAGTTCAATTTGGTGGAGGAGGTCTAGCATAGTATTTGTGTTAGGAAATTAATAATCACTGAAGTAAAATTTCCTCTATATCTTGATCCATCCTCAGTTGAATTTAGAAAATTAAAGGAAAGTTGCATTTTACCTGAGAATGAGTAGCAAAATAATATTGTATTTGAATGTTAAATGCAGCACACAGTCATAAATGATTCACTAACTATATGAGAGCTTTTCATACTTCAGTTAAACAAAGGTATGAATAGAAAGAGTAAATTCATTGACTTGACTATCTCCAGGAAGTTCTTTTAAAGAGTGTATGTTGAATAAATCAAGGAATTAATTCAGTGCATGTTCTCAGAGCTGCCCTGAGATGGGGGAACAGAGCGAGAAACCCGGGGTGCTGTGGTAGGGGCCCTGTGAGTTATCGGTGCTGGAAAGCAGGGCAGAAAAACAGTCCTTGGAGTTCCAAGGAGTGTCTCACCACCTTTTGCGTCCACACCTCCCTCTTAGCAATACAGCAAGTTTTGAACTCCATTGGATAGACTAGAGTCACTTGACAGGGAGCAAATTTCCACAAAATGAAGTAAACAAATAAAAATAAAGGAGCAACAATTCTTCAGTATACAGAATGATGGTAACCGGGGGGGTGGGGGGGGAAGGGAGGGAAATAGATTTAGATACTTGTAGTTAATGTTGTAAGTACTTGCTAATTCATTTCCATGTTAAATAACTGCAAGAGTGTCAATCATCCCCAGTGACAGTCCAACAGAGGCACCACCCCAACCCAACCTAGCACAGTGCCTGCCACTCAGTAAGCACTTGCCATCAGTCAGGAATGAGGAATAAACACCCTACATGGCAATCTTGACAATCGGAAAAATTCCTTTCTGGGCAACTTAGGTTCAATCTTACTTAAAGGCAGAATATGACCTCTCAATTTCTCTGAAATTCTATGTAATGCCATTGTATTACAATGTAGTAAGAATTTTCTAAAACTCAGTATGAATATAAAACCTGCATGGGACTTCCCTGATGGTCTGGTGGTTAAGACTCCACACTTTCAATGCAGGGGCCCAGGTTCAACCCCTGGTTAGGTAATTAGATCTCACCACAATGAAGATTCTGCATGTTGCCACTAAGACCTGGTGCAGCCAAATAAATTAAAATAAACAAATAAACAAAAAACCTGCAACAGATTTTTCCATGTTCCATTTCCAGCCTCCACTCTTTGAGTCTGGTACCACCTTTCATAGGTTTATATTATTTTATTTTCATGCCTTTCTTCTCCCATTTTGCTTCCATCCCTCTTATATTTCCTTTTCTTTACATTTTAATTTAGCCTGTTCTTTCTTCTGTCTCACCTCTGCTTAGGTCTCTTCCCTTTAAAGCTCCTTTTCATGTCACTTCCTTGCTTGCTGTGACAGGCTGTCCTGTCCTCTGACTCTGTAAACCTTCTCCTCTGTGGGCAGCTGTGACTTTCTCCAGCCCCTTCCCGTGGAGCTCAGTCCTGACAATAGATCATGGAGGCAGTGCACAGGGGGCAGTGGACTGTCCATGCTTGAGCCATTGCTATGTAGCCGTCAGAGGAGCCTGCTGGTCCAATTGGGAACTCCCTGAGGACACAGAGGGGCCCCTGAATTCACCTCCACCATGAATTCTCTTACACCACAGTGTGGACTGAATCAGAGAGTATATCAACACACATTCCCATTATTATCCCTCATGTGGTTCTTCCAGCTGATCCCTATGAAGGCAGCAAAGTTGTCGGTAAGTTAAAACCCCAACAAAGCCCAGTTCAGTTTGGTGGAAGAGGTCTAGCATAGTATTTGTGTTAGGAAATTAATAATCACTGAAGTAAAATTTCCTCTATATCTTGATCCATCCTCAGTTGAATTTAGAAAATTAAAGGAAAGTAGCATTTTACCTGAGAATGAGTAGCAAAATAATATTGTATTTGAATGTTAAATGCAGCACACAGTCATAAATGATTCACTAACTATATGAGAGCTTTTCATACTTCAGTTAAACAAAGGCATGAATAGAAAGAGTAAATTCATTGACTTGACTATCTCCAGGAAGTTCTTTTAAAGAGTGTATGTTGAATAAATCAAGGAATTAATTCAGTGCATGTTCTCAGAGCTGCCCTGAGATGGGGGAACAGAGCGAGAAACCCGGGGTGCTGTGGTAGGGGCCCTGTGAGTTATCGGTGCTGGAAAGCAGGGCAGAAAAACAGTCCTTGGAGTTCCAAGGAGTGTCTCACCACCTTTTGCGTCCACACCTCCCTCTTAGCAATACAGCAAGTTTTGAACTCCATTGGATAGACTAGAGTCACTTGACAGGGAGCAAATTTCCACAAAATGAAGTAAACAAATAAAAATAAAGGAGCAACAATTCTTCAGTATACAGAATGATGGTAACCGGGGGGGTGGGGGGGGAAGGGAGGGAAATAGATTTAGATACTTGTAGTTAATGTTGTAAGTACTTGCTAATTCATTTCCATGTTAAATAACTGCAAGAGTGTCAATCATCCCCAGTGACAGTCCAACAGAGGCACCACCCCAACCCAACCTAGCACAGTGCCTGCCACTCAGTAAGCACTTGCCATCAGTCAGGAATGAGGAATAAACACCCTACATGGCAATCTTGACAATCGGAAAAATTCCTTTCTGGGCAACTTAGGTTCAATCTTACTTAAAGGCAGAATATGACCTCTCAATTTCTCTGAAATTCTATGTAATGCCATTGTATTACAATGTAGTAAGAATTTTCTAAAACTCAGTATGAATATAAAACCTGCATGGGACTTCCCTGATGGTCTGGTGGTTAAGACTCCACACTTTCAATGCAGGGGCCCAGGTTCAACCCCTGGTTAGGTAATTAGATCTCACCACAATGAAGATTCTGCATGTTGCCACTAAGACCTGGTGCAGCCAAATAAATTAAAATAAACAAATAAACAAAAAACCTGCAACAGATTTTTCCATGTTCCATTTCCAGCCTCCACTCTTTGAGTCTGGTACCACCTTTCATAGGTTTATATTATTTTATTTTCATGCCTTTCTTCTCCCATTTTGCTTCCATCCCTCTTATATTTCCTTTTCTTTACATTTTAATTTAGCCTGTTCTTTCTTCTGTCTCACCTCTGCTTAGGTCTCTTCCCTTTAAAGCTCCTTTTCATGTCACTTCCTTGCTTGCTGTGACAGGCTGTCCTGTCCTCTGACTCTGTCTGTAAACCTTCTCCTCTGTGGGCAGCTGTGACTTTCTCCAGCCCCTTCCCGTGGAGCTCAGTCCTGACAATAGATCATGGAGGCAGTGCACAGGGGGCAGTGGACTGTCCATGCTTGAGCCATTGCTATGTAGCCGTCAGAGGAGCCTGCTGGTCCAATTGGGAACTCCCTGAGGACACAGAGGGGCCCCTGAGTTCACCTCCACCATGAATTCTCTTACACCACAGTGTGGACTGAATCAGAGAGTATATCAACACACATTCCCATTATTATCCCTCATGTGGTTCTTCCAGCTGATCCCTATGAAGGCAGCAAAGTAGTTATTGATAACCTGTACCTGGGCCAGCAAGATGCCTGGAGAGGCAAATCCATCCAATCACTGAGCTCCATGCGGGCCCTGTGCTAAGCCATGGGGACACACAGACATTGAAAGGTATCTTCTACCCTCAGTGAATCCACACAGCTGTCACCCAGGGGCATGTCATGGAGTGTTTGTTCTGACATGTTGAAAAGGCCCCTCAGTCTTTGAAGCACATATGTCTGTGTCTCTCTTCAATCAGTGTGTGTACCTTTCAACTTAAATATACCTAGTCTAGAGGTAGAAGATGCTTTTAAATACATATTACTGAGTCTCACTGTTTTGATATTTCTAATTTGTTGTTTAAAATGTAAACATTTGAGTATTTCTATCAACAAACATTTAAGTACCTCTACGGCTATAGGTGAAGAAGAGTAACCATTTCCTTCCATTTGTAAGGTTGGAGAGCCAAAATACTTTACAACTTCAGACCGAAGAAAAGGCCAGAGGTGTGAAGTTAAACTCTACGATGAGACAGAGTCTTCTTTTGCAATGATATGGTAACTCCCCACATCTGTTCCAAACTGAAATCTGTGCCATTATCACCAAGTCAGAACATTTCATCTCATCAAGAGGTGATGGGTGTCATATCAGGAGAGGAGTGATGATAGGAGGAAATGGTATTAAAAATAAACCTTCCTCTTGTGTGTCCAGTCATTACAGTCTATGATTACCTTAAAATGAGATCTTTTGATGGCATGGAATTTCATAGATGGATTCTTACTATCATACTCTTTTGTGACAAATAATCATTTACTAAGTCCCATTGATAAAGAACAAGACAGACTTTCTGTGATCCATTGGGTGGTACTCTGGAGCCAGGCCATGGGAAGATGGTGAAGAAGAAAGTTTTGTCACAGATTGGGTTCTGTGGGGGCTCCCAGTGTGTCAGATGTGGGACAGGGCTACACCCTGAAGCATCCCAGGAAATACTATGGTGTTGTTTAGATGCAAGATTGAATTTGAAACAGGTCTTCAATCCATCAGTTTCCTCAAGCAGTTTATCCATTATGGGGATAATCCCTTAATGGCATGAAAGAGTGACTTCACAATTTTTAGACTTATAGTTACTCAGTTCTAACTAGTGTGGAGTGACCTGGGTGATAGGAAAAGAGGGAATGGCAGGAGCAGAAGTTGTTAGAGGTGGATGTGCTGAAGGAATGCTTTCCAAAAGTGTTAAATTTTCTGTGAAATAGGCAGAGTAGCCCTGAAAAATGCAGGAAAAACCAAGACCTTTCCTTGTGCCTTGGACCACATGGGAGATTATTAACCTCAGCCATTAAGACATCCTTTTTCTGATAAATAACATGGTCACTGTCAGTGTTTTCTAATGTATTTTATTTTTGTCACTTCTTTTTTCACACATGCAGTTGGGATAGTGAATCTATTCTACTTGCACAAAGCTGGGTGCCACAAGAAACAGGTATCGCATACTTCAATGATTGTGTTCAATATTTGTAATTTTTTATCCTCCAGTGTAATAATTTTAAAATGGCTTTTTCCCCAAACAGTAATATTTGCTGCAGATGTAAGGATAAGTTTTGACAAATTTCGGAACAGCATGATAGCAACTATAATCTCAAAAACCATTATTACAACTAATCCAGGTAAAAAGCTGTCTGAAATTTTTAATTCCTTTGGAAATGACTATATCACATATCCCAATATTTGTATAGTATGTTTAAGAATGAAAATGAAGCTTGGATTTCATTTGAGTTAAAAATGAAAAGCTGCCTTATATGACTTTTTAAAACTTACAGTGAATTATCTTTGATATATTTACAAAAGAAATGTGAAAAGCCAGACTCATTTGTAAAGCATTATCCCTTATGTTGATTTTGAGAGATCAATGCCATTGATTGGATAAACTAAATTATTAACCATTTAAAAATAAATTTGATTTCACTGCATTCAAGTAATTTAGTGCTGGAGCATGGAGAACATGCATGTAGTATCATCATGTGATACTTAGTTCATCACTGTGAGTGGTTGTGAAGTGGTTACAGCTTGTCCCAGCGTGAAATGAAAGTAGGACTGGGGAGAGGAGGGTGTGCCCTGATGTATCCTGAGGTTGCTTGTAGCCCAGAGAGAAAGGCCCACTCAGCACCCCAGGAGAGCACAGAGGTCCCAGGGATGAATAATCCTTCAAAAAGTCTTAAGAGAATATAAATGTAGCAAGTATCATTTTAACTATGTGCTCACTCTACTGATCCATGTCAAAGCAGTAACAGTGACTGAGAACTATAAAACAATTTTATGTCTTTGACCAAACCATTATCAGAATTTTTAGAAGTGAAATTTCTGTGAGATATGGTGTAAAATAGCAAGACCGTGTTTTAATATCAGTAGTTGGATCTTGCTCATCTACTGCAGAAATATTGTCTCCTTGAAAGCAGTATCATGGGAGGTGATATGGCACTCATTGATTTGTTCTTGTTGAACTCTGATCTATTACACACGTGCTGTGTGCCATGCACCATTCTGGGTCCAGTGACCAAACACAGATATCTCTCCTGCTCATGGAGCTCATATCCTAGCAGTGGGGAAACAGAGAATGAACAATTAGGATAACAAATCCAAATTATGGAATTTGAAATGATTGAGAAGTAAAAGAGAACAGAGTCAGGAGGGTCTAGAATGCCATGGTGTGTGTAGGGCAGGTTGCTTGTTTACATAGCGTGGTCAGGCGGGCTCCGTGAGAGGGTGACACCTGAGGGAGGACAGTTGCAGGGTGTGTGGGGGCAGCGGCGTTAACCACGGGAAAGAGCGCACCAGGCGGAGGAGCCGGCCAGTGCAGAGGCTCTGTGGCCAGTGTGGCTGGAGCCGAGGGAGCAGGGCAGAAAGAGGGGCTGAGGTCAGAGAAGACATGGAGGTGGTCAGAAGGCCGTACAGGCTGCCTTCTACTCTGTGGGAAGGGCAGCCGGGCAGTGACATTATCTGAGTTCTAAAAGGATTGCAGTGACTTCTTTTACATTGGTGGTGACACAACCATGGTCTATTCTTACCATAGGACAATAGTGTCACTCTTCTATTCTTTTTTTTCTTTTGAGAAGGGTACTATGGTTTCTTATTTTTAATGATATAATAATACTAATAGGCTATTTTTAGTGCTTTCAATAACATTAGTGATAGAGTCTCCATCCTCTAAGGGTAAATTTGGTCTGGAAAAATTTCTAAAAGACGGTTGGGATTGTCTGGTGGAAAAGGTTATCGAGCTTGATAGTACTAATTGTCTCCAAACCTCAAGATTAAGTTAAAGAGACAGATTCGAAGGATATTGTACATTTGGGTTTGAAAACAGATTCAGAGGGGAAATGTCAAAGTGTTTTGAGCAGTGTCAACATAATTAGAATAAATACCTTACTTATTATTAAGGAGACAAATACAAGGAAAATATGTATAAGGGTGTGTGAATTTCAATATGCTTTTAAAAATCAGCCTTATTTCTAATTTCCTGGGTTACACTAGAAATTAAGAACCTCTAAATGGTTTGGTGGTCAGATGTGGAAGGAAGAATTTCTGTCCCCCCACAGACAGTCTGGGATGGGCCTGTTGTCTTTAGAGATCTTGACAGCAGTGCCTACACCCCACCCTTCCTACCAGTTTCTGACCCAGGATTCTCATTAATTTACAAATATTTAGCGAATGCCTTTTATTTGCCAAGTAGTGAGGTAAATTAAACACTTTCTGGAACAAGGAAGTACCTGAGAGGATGGACGCTGAGATGGATGGAAGGATAGTCATTATATCAGACACTGAAAGTACAGAGATAAAGAGACAACCCCCCTGTCTGGGATTCTGGTCTAGTTCTGGGAAAGAAGCAACAGTGATAAGACTTGTGGTACAACAGGGTGAGGAGGAAGAAACCCTAACTCTGTCCAGGGGAGTCAGGGGGTCTGACATCCGCAGGATGGCTTGCAGAATGTTGGGGAGAGGCTGGAAGACAAGCAGATATTGGAGGTTGGGGCTTGGGGTTGAAGGGTGTCAGAATCAGAGAGCACCTTTTCAAAATCAGATTCATGCCTTCTGGCACATTATCTGACTATCCCAGAGAACATTTGTGTCCCATTTGAGGAATAAGCTCTTCAAATAACCTTAACAGTTTTTTTCTGACTAGAGAAGAAATACATACAAAATTTAGAAAATATATAAAAGCATAAAAAAGAAAACAATGATCAACTATAAATTCTTCATCTTATAAGAAATAATCATTTTTTTGATATATAGTCTTTGAGATAATTTTGCTCATGTCTTTTTAAAATCAAAGGAAATGGTATGAAATGTTTTGTAAACTGCTCTTTAAACTCGTGATGTCTGCTATACATCTCTCTGTGATGTACCCCATCACATTGTTAATAGCGTTGTTATATTCTATTTGTGGTATTCTTATATGTCTTCACTTTTTTACCATTAAAAATATTTTTGAGTCATTCACAGTTATTTAAAAAGTGATCAGTTTGCAGTTTACTTATTATGCATTTCCAATTTAAGATACACCAGAAGCTAACATCCTTCTGAATTTTATAAGAGAAAATAAAGTAATGAATCCTCTGGATGATGATTTGTACATTTGGGTTTGAAAACAGATTCAGAGGGGAAATGTCAAAGTGTTTTGAGCAGTGTCAACATAATTAGAATAAATACCTTACTTATTATTAAGGAGACAAATACAAGGAAAATATGTATAAGGGTGTGTGAATTTCAATATGCTTTTAAAAATCAGCCTTATTTCTAATTTCCTGGGTTACACATAGAAATTAAGAACCTCTAAATGGTTTGGTGGTCAGATGTGGAAGGAAGAATTTCTGTCCCCCCACAGACAGTCTGGGATGGGCCTGTTGTCTTTAGAGATCTTGACAGCAGTGCCTACACCCCACCCTTCCTACCAGTTTCTGACCCAGGATTCTCATTAATTTACAAATATTTAGCGAATGCCTTTTATTTGCCAAGTAGTGAGGTAAATTAAACACTTTCTGGAACAAGGAAGTACCTGAGAGGATGGACGCTGAGATGGATGGAAGGATAGTCATTATATCAGACACTGAAAGTACAGAGATAAAGAGACAACCCCCCTGTCTGGGATTCTGGTCTAGTTCTGGGAAAGAAGCAACAGTGATAAGACTTGTGGTACAACAGGGTGAGGAGGAAGAAACCCTAACTCTGTCCAGGGGAGTCAGGGGGTCTGACATCCGCAGGATGGCTTGCAGAATGTTGGGGAAAGGCTGGAAGACAAGCAGATATTGGAGGTTGGGGCTTGGGGTTGAAGGGTGTCAGAATCAGAGAGCACCTTTTCAAAATCAGATTCATGCCTTCTGGCACATTATCTGACTATCCCAGAGAACATTTGTGTCCCATTTGAGGAATAAGCTCTTCAAATAACCTTAACAGTTTTTTTCTGACTAGAGAAGAAATACATACAAAATTCAGAAAATATATAAAAGCATAAAAAAGAAAACAATGATCAACTATAAATTCTTCATCTTATAAGAAATAATCATTTTTTTGATATATAGTCTTTGAGATAATTTTGCTCATGTCTTTTTAAAATCAAAGGAAATGGTATGAAATGTTTTGTAAACTGCTCTTTAAACTCGTGATGTCTGCTATACATCTCTCTGTGATGTACCCCATCACATTGTTAATAGCGTTGTTATATTCTATTTGTGGTATTCTTATATGTCTTCACTTTTTTACCATTAAAAATATTTTTGAGTCATTCACAGTTATTTAAAAAGTGATCAGTTTGCAGTTTACTTATTATGCATTTCCAATTTAAGATACACCAGAAGCTAACATCCTTCTGAATTTTATAAGAGAAAATAAAGTAATGAATCCTCTGGATGATGAAACTGACAATTATTTGAAAGAATCCATGAATTGTAAGTAACCTTTAAATATTATTTAAATTCTTTAACGCCCAGAATTTGGGTCTATAAAGTTACTTAGTAAAAGACACTGTATTCTCATTATGTAACTGCCGTGTGTGTGCATGCTCAGTCACTCAGTCATGTTTGACTCTTTGTGACCCCACAGACTGTAGTCTGCCAGGCTCCTCTGTCCATGAGATTTTCCAGGCAAGAGTACTGGAGTGGGTTGCCATTTCCTCCTTCTAGGGATCTTTCTGAACTAGGGATTGGTAACTGCTATACTTCCACTTTAAAAAGGTAGTTTAAAACTTTTGGAGATTTATGTAACCTCTTGCCAATCTGATGAGAGTTAATGACCCTCTCCCCCAAAAGGCAGCTGTATCCACATATAGAACTTTGTGCAAAATGTTATGTATTCACAGACCCCAGATTGAGGCTTGACTTTAAAAAGGATGCTGTTTGCTGCCATCTGTAGTTTATGTTTAGAATGGGGAAAAGCAGAGGGAGGGCTTAGATCTCTCCCTAAAGGCATGTTCTTATAACTTCATCCTAAGGGGTGAAATTCTTTCTCATATTCAACCCAATTCATCTTGAGAGAGTAACAATTCAGTTAATTGAGGAAAAAGTATTCTGCAACCACCTTAACTTGTGAAAGAAGAACTTTGTTATGCATTGCTGGGGGATATTTGACACTTCCTTTCTCCATCCTCTCTCTCTCCTTTTCCCTGTGCAGTGCAGCTTGTGGGGGTTCCCCAATCAGGGATTGAGCCCTGGCCGTTGGCTGTGAAATCACCAAGTCCTAACCACTGGACAACCAGGGAATTCCCAACACATTTCCTTTCAATATCAATCACTAATAGAAAAAACAGAACTACTGGTTTATAATTATCATCTTTTTGCCTACAAGAAGGGATAAGCTTAAAGTTGTATTATTTATTAGAGTTAAAATAAAGCTGTTGTTACTTTGGAAGCATTTAAAAATGTCTGGTCATTTGTGGAGAATGCCATTTCAGAAGACTTCCAGGAAGCCCAAAAGTGTTCACTGGGCCTTGAGATGGATTTGCCATACTGTGTCTCAGTCCCTGCCTGTCTCTGAACCTGAAAATGGGGACAAGAACAACTGTGTCTACGCTTGTCTTCTCTAGGCTACTCAGAGCTATCAGATTTGAGTGGAGAAAATTTTCCTGATCAATGGCTTATATCAAAGTAACCACAAAAGTGGTACTTAAGTTTCCCTTTCTTTTATTTCACTGTGGAAACTTTTTTTTTCCACTGTGGAAACTTCTATCATTAAATTTGCTCAGAGGCAAAAAATGAGTTGCATTGTCTTTTAAAATGCTCATTATTCCCATGAAAAACTTATAGGTTGAAACTGATTTGATATTTCAGAATAAAACTATCATAATACTTACTTTAAAACTTTTGTTGTTTTTAGTTAAAACAATGTTCAATATTTAGAAAGTAAACACAACACAGAATACAGCAAAAACCCGGAAATAAAGAGTTATTTTGTGAAAATCTTCCAATCCATTTTCCAGTGGATCTGAACTGACAGCAGGATAAAGACATAAAAGTAAGATAAATAGATACACATAACTGGACCTTTTATTGAAGAAAATTAAATTTCACATCCCTTTCATGAATCACAGCCTTGTCGTGGGGAAGGGGCTTGTGTAACTCAATCCTAAAGGGAATCAACCCTGAATATTCATTGGAAGGACTGATGCTGAAGCTCCAATAATTTGGCCATCTGCGCTGATGTGAAGAGCTGACTCACTGGAAAAGACCCTGACACTGGGAAAGATCAAAGGCAAGAGGAGAAGGGGGCAACAGAGGATGAGATGGTTAGATAGCATCACCGACTCAATGGACATGAATTTGAGCAAACTCTAGGAGATAGTGAAGGACAGAGGAGCCTGGTGTACTGTAGTGCATGGGGTCACGAAGAGCCAGACATGACTTAGTGACTGAACAACAGCAAAAAAACAGAAGAAAGTAGTAAAGTGCTGAGGAACTGGGCAACTTCTGTTAAAAGCTTTCTTACCTAAGTAATGTTTGGATCTGTAAGATTCCTCTAAGATTAAGAAAAATAAAAAATGACTAATAGATTAATAGTTCTTAGTTTTGTAAATTTTCTTAGAATAAATTTTAAGTTGAAGTATAACACCTATGGGCTTCCTAGGTAGCGCTAAGTGTAAAGAACCTGCCTGTCAATGAGGACACGCAAGAGAAGCAGGTTCAGACCCTGGGCTGGGTAGATCCCCTGGAGGAGGGTGTGGCAACTCTCTCAAGTATTCTTGCCTGGAGAATCCCATGGACAGAGGAGTCTGGCAAGCTATAGTCCATAGGGTCTCACAGAGTCGGGCACGACTGAAGTAACTTAGCATGCACGTACATATCACAAAGAATATGAACAGTAAACAAGAATGAGAGGACAGTACCATGCACCATCACATAGAGTATGCACCTGTTAAGACTCATCCCCCACAGGTAATAATTGCCAGTGCCCATAAGACCCCTCATGTCTGCCCAAATGTGACTCTGACTTATTGCACCATAGAAACCACAGATAAATGTAGCCTATTTTGGAATTTTAACAGTGAAGTTGTATCATATGACCTCACTCTTGTGTCTGATGTCCTTTGTTCAACATTAGGTCTGTGAGTGCCATCCACACTGCTATGTGTAGTGTTGTTTTTTGTTGATGTGTGTAATTCCATTATATGAATATATCACAGTTTATTTCTCTTATTGTTTCCTACTACAACATTTTTACTTTCTCTTTGAGTGTGACTTTAGGTGAACCTCTATCTGTTTTTTCTGTTGTTGTTGGATATACATGTTCCTAGGAGGACTATTGCTTTGTCATGCACGTCCACCTTTAGGTGATTCTGCCAAATGGTTTTCCAAAATGTTTGCACCAGTCTATACTTCTCCCAGTAGTGTTCAGGAGTTCCAGCTGCTCTACATCCTCACCAATGTTTGTACTGTTAGTCTTTTAAGTGGTGAATACTTAGTGGAATCCTACTGTTGTTAAGTTTGCATTTACTTGATGATTAGTAAGGCCAGTATGTTTATTGTCTCTCTTTATATTCTTTTTGTGAAGTGCTTTTTAAAATCTCTTCCAGGGGTTTTTTTCCCCTGGCAGTCCAGGGGTTAGGAACTCGGTGCTTTCACTGCTGTGGCCCGGGTTCAGTCCCCAGTCAAGATCTGACAAGCTGCATAGTGGGGCCAAGAATAAATACATACATACATACATACAATCTCTTCCCCATTTAAAAAATAGAATTGACTGTCTTTTTTGTTATTGATTCTTAAGATTCCAATTTAGATATTTTGGTTATGAATCCTTTATCTTATAGATTTCTAGCATCTGCCACTCTATGGTTTACATTTTCATTCTTTTAATGGACTCTTCTGATGATTAGAAACTATTCATTCTAATAAAGACTAATGTCTCATTATTCTTCTATTTTGCTTATTTTTTACTTTCATGTCCATTTATATAATAAGTTTTAATGTTATCATATACAATAGATTTTTTTTTTTATTACAGAACTTAAGCTACTACATATTATCATTTGGGCCCTGTAGGTTTTCTACATGGATATAATCCTTTGGAATTCTTAGAATATATTTAGAACTGTAATGACTTTTTCTTTTTTTTTTTTAGTAAAAACAATAGTTGATGTTTATACAGTTGAACAATTAAAGGTAAAAGCTTTGAAGAATGAAGGAAAAGCTGATCCTTTCTACGGAATTCTTTATGCTTACATTTCTACACTGAACATTGATGATGAAACTACAAAAGTAGTTCGAAATAGATGGTAAGCAACCAAATTACTTTTAGAAATTCATTCTTATAAAAAATAAAAAACAATTATTGGTAATACATTTTAAACTCTGTGAAAGTTAAAGTTATTCTTTGACATAGTAGTGGTTATGTATTTGAAAGAAATGTATAAATAAATAACCCATACTAAAGTTCCCTTAACAAACTATTTAGACCCGAAGAGTCTTATAGCCTTTTAAAGTAAAATGTATTTCAATATGTTTTAGCAATCCTAAAATAAATAATACTGCCAAAATCTTTTAACTGGGATGTCAAACTATTGTTTTGTAATGAATTAGAAATTGTTTTGGTGACCACATCCTATAGCAATAAAAGTAATAGTATCTTAATAACTTGTTTCATGATAATGAAATGAATGATGAATGTGATTTCCAACCTCTCCTAAGTCAGTTAGTATCTATTTGCATAAAAAAGTAAACCCAAGTAGATTTAATTATCTTAGCTAAAAAATGCTTGGTAAGAAAATTCTAAAATATTCTTGTGAAACTCTCCCTGTAGATTTGTAATTGAAATTTTTATTGACATAGTTCTAGATTCATATGGCACTATAAGAAATAATAAACTGTATACTTTGTTCAGTTCCCCCCAGTGGTCAAGGATGAAAGTAAAAGTCACTCAGTTGTGTCCAACTCTTTGTGACCCCGTGGACTCTACAGTCCATGGTATTCTCCAGGCCAGAATATTGGAGTGAGTTCCCTTCTCCAGGGGATCTTCCCAATCCAGGGGTCGAACCCAGGTCTCCCCCATTGCAGGTGGATTCTTTACCAGTTGAGCCACCAGGGAAGCCTCCTCCAGGAATGGTAACATTTTGCAAATCTATAGCATCACATCACAGACAATAATGATCTTAATTAAGTTCACTGATCTTATTCAGTTTCCCCAGATTAACATGTATCATTTGTGTGTGTGTGTGTGTGTGTGTTAAATTCTATGTAGTTTTATTGCATGTGTAAGTTTGTGTATCAGTAGTCAAGAAATTGACTTATGGATTTCTAAAACATTGAATGCTTTGGTTTTAAAGTTGAAAAAAGTAATGTAAAGGCTGTTGCATAAGGCAGGTGCTTATTTTTTGAAAAATACTCTTTAAAATTTTTCTTAAAAAGTTATCTCCCTTATTTTTCCTATGTCTTTAATATTGATATCTGAGGAAAAGTGTCTAATATTTAATTTAAAAGTGATCTGTGCCTTATAAGAAAGCAGTGTCTTCAGATCATTCCCTCTTCTTGAAAATTTGAATTAATCTTCCTATTCAAATTGGCTAAAGTAATGCCTGCTTCAAAAATATAGAATAACACGTAATTTCCCTGACTCAGACAGTATGGAATCCACCTGCAAGGTGGGAGACCTGGTTCTATCTCTGGGTTGGGAAAAACACCTGGAAAAAGAAACAGCAGCCCACTCCAGTATTCTTGCCTGGAGAATCCCTATGGACAGAGGAGCCTGGTGGGTTACAGTCCATGGGGACACAGCTGAGTGACTGAGCACAGCACTGCTGCTGCTGCTGCTAAGTTGCATCAGTCGTGTCTGACTCTGTGCGACCCCATAGACAGCAGCCCACCAGGCTCCCCCTGGGATTCTCCAGGCAAGAATACTGGAGTGGGTTGCCATTTCTTTCTCCAGTGCATGAAAGTGAAAGGTGAAAGTGAAGTCGTTCAGTCGTGTCCGACTCTTAGCAACCCCATGAACCGCAGCCTACCAGGCTCCTCCGTCCATAGGATTTTCCAGGCAAGAGTACTGGAGTGGGTTGCACAGCACATCCCTGAAAGAGAGGAGTGTGTCACTAGCAGTACTGGCAGCATTTAGGGTGTGAGCCTCTCCAGCCCTGGGTGTGCAGAGGACCTAATAAAGGACAAGTGAGCATTCACAGAACCTAGGCTTTCCAGGTGCAAGACACGATTCCTGCCCTCAAACTCTGAGCCAGGAGATAAACAGACCTATCTGCAGTAACACCAAATAGGATGTGACAGGGTGTAAGTCCGTGCTGAAGTGTAAGTTGTACCTATGCTCAGAGAAGGGAGGGGGTGGAGCTTGGGTGCAGGAGAGGGAGGCCCCAGTGGGGAGGTGACCCTGGGCAAGAACCCCAGCTTTGGGGAAGGTAGGAGGCAGAACCATGAAAGGACTGGCTGATCGCAGTTTCAGAAGCAGGAATACTGCAAGTGAGGTTGACTACATAGAAAGCATGCTTGTTATCCTTTTGCATTGGTCCCTGTTATTTCGCAGGTCTGTTTTGTATCCTACTCAGGGCTGAGCACTCTGTAATTACTAACTCATGTGCTAACTTAGAAAAGTCTAAGTAATAGTTCTGCTAGAGATCAGAGGTGTCACTTAGGGTCTTCACATTTTATCATTGTCTTTGTTTCTTTTCAGTTCTGGCTGTGGTTACATTGTAAACGAAGCATCCAGCGCTTGTACAACTTGCAACAAAGATTCTTCGGAATTTAAATCTGTTTTTCCCAGCTTTGATATGCTAATCGATCTTGCTGATCACACAGGTACCCTTCATTCCTGTAGTCTCACAGGAAGTGTGGCTGAGGAGACTTTGGGCCGCACGGTAAATAATAAAAATACTTAGAAATACTTTCAAATTGAATTCTCTTCCCAAAACATAAGTTATTTTGGTGAACATTTGATAGAAATTAATTCCTTAATAAAGAGGTCTGGGAAAAATCAATCTTGACTTAAACACACATTGTTTTAATGAATAAAGAATTACATGTTGTATATTAAAATCCTAGCTAACATTAACTGTTAGGAATAACAGGAGAGGTCCTTGGTGACAGTGGAGAATAAACATGACATTTTATGGGCAAAATGACACCTTGGAGACACCGAGCAGGGTCCTCTATGAGGAGGGCTTGGCAGTATTTCACCTACTCAGGTGCATAAAATCAGCCATGAGCTTTCCCTCAGTCTGTCCTGGAACACAGCAGCAGAGGTTAACTTGTACGCTTGGTGTTATGTCTGATACTTTTATTGTTAGAACTGGCTCTGAAATTTTACCATTAAACTTGAGTGGCGTCCACTTTGTCAAGAGTGGCTTTCTGTGCTGGCCCCCGATTGGCTTCAGAGATTCAGTTTAGAGCCTGTCTGGCTTTGTCTCCTCCATCAAGAGAGTTGAGTTGTAATTACTATGGATAAAATTCCATCTCTAGAGCAAATTTAAGTTTTACATTATTGTCAAAATGAATTATCTATATATTCTTTGGAAATGTTTAATTTTTTTTTTATCCAGGTAGTTGAGTTTCTTGCAATGACGGATGAACAGAAAACAGCGTTAAAGTGGCAATTTCTTTTGGAAAGAAGCAAAATTTATTTAAAAGTTAGTGCATTTTACAATATTACTATGTTATTCTATATATTCAACTAATGTGAAAATCCCAGAGTATGACCTAGTAAATTAGGGAATTTGTTATTTTTAATAATGTTCAGTTCCCAAATGTGCAGAAGGATTTGGCTACCATAGAAACAGTGGAAGTAATCAGGTTTTTTCATATAGCATAAAGAATTACAAGGCTTCCCTGGTGTCTTAGCAGTAAAGAATCCACCTGCAATTCAGGAGACAAAGGAGATGTAAGTTCTACCCCTGGGTTGGGAAGATCCCCTGGAGGAGGGCACGGCAACCCACTCCAGTATTCTTGCCTGGAGAATCCCATGGACAGAGGAACCTGGCAGGTTAAGTCCATAGGGTTGCAAAGAGTTGGACACAACTGAAGTGACTAAGTGGACACACACACACACAAGAATTACAAATAACACAAAAGAAAAAGACCAATAAAGAAAATATCCATTAATGTTAACATCAAGGCTAGGCACTGGGCTTTAAAGTCAGAGCTGGGTGTCCCTGCCCCCATGGGCAGTGATCCTCACTTCAGTGAGTCGTATTCAACAGCATAGTTACATGCTTATGTGCTGGGGTGATAGAGACTCAGTCTGAATCCTAGTTCCACCATTCCTTCAGCCCATGTGACCTTGGGAAGGTTAATTCTCTAAGGCCCTAATCTGCTGTGATCCTACAACTCTGACCAGAGCAGACTCCCTTAGCAACAGCAACACTTCATTGTTGGAAGGGCACAGGATCTTAGTGTTAAAGGTGTAAAACGGGCAGTGAGATAAACTCCCCTTGTTTTGCAAATGAGGAAAATAGGACAAGAAATGTTGCTTCTTGCCCGAAGTCACAGGTGAGATAGGGCTACCATTTATATTATTTGAGATGTTTTCTCTTCACACTCTAAAACATTTTCAAGCTCTTAAGTGAGTTATATCTGTCAATATTTATTGTACTAGAACTTAAATTGAGGAAAACTTTAAATGTATTCACGAGCACACAGTCTTTAAGCAGTCAGAACTGCTGTCATCTCATGTCAGGTAGCCTCTTGAAACTACAATGTACTCTGGTGAAAGAATGAGAGTAAGAAAGGCAGACAGCAATTTCACATTATTATGAACATAGCTTTGATCTCAGGGAGAACCTGAAAGAGAACACTGGGTCTGCTCCACCTCAGCTCTGAAGCAGGTTTTCCCATCTCCCAGTGGCTCCTGCCCTTGTAGCCTCAAGCATATCTGAACAGATTGCACACCCAGAGTCACCAATGGCCTTATCAGTATTTCTAGGACCTTGATTTGAGAATACCCTATCTCTTCCACCACGAGCGTGGGTCATCTCAAATACTGTACTCTATTCCCAAGTCAGAATATGCTCAGATCCCTGCCCAGCTGTATGGTTTCCTTCCAAACAACAGGTACCAGTTGCTATGAGTTTCATAAATTTAAATTCATGACACTCTGCTTATAGTTTCCCAAATTTGATTTAAATATAACAACTACTCTCAGTTTGTACCTTTCCAAGGAATATGTTAGAAAGATATTTGTCAGGGACTTCCCTGGTCGTCCAGTGGCTAGGTCTCTATGCTCTCGAGTCAGGGGTCCTGGGTTCAATCCCTTGTCTAGGAACTGGATCCTACATGCCACAGTTTGAATGCTGTAACTAAATATTCCACATGTTGCAAAAAGATGTGAGTCAGCCAAATAAATAAATAAATGTCTTTAAAAAAAAATTTGCCAGACTTAACAAAGGTTTAAAGCAGATAGATAGTGATTATTATCACAAAATGTAATAAGGATTATGAGACAAATACAATTTAAATTGTTATAAAAGAGTTAGAATATGTAATTTAAAAATAGGAGCTTACATTTCTCTGCAAATAAGATAAAAACAAAGGATTTCCATATAGGACATTTTGTGTATTTATCATATTTCAATAAAAAATAATGGCTACTTAAAATTATTCATTTGGAGGGATTTCAAACTGTTAACTCATTTTAATGTTTTAAAACATATAGTGTCACAAAATGTAATCAAGATTATGAGACTCATACAATTTAAATTGTTATAAATCAGAGCATGTAATTAAAAAATGTAATTGTCATAAGTGTGATGTCATTATTTCTTAAACTGTGTCATGATATCAGATCAGCTCTAACAGATCACGTTATTGCTGTGTGTTCACGTCTGTCACAGCTGGTGGTCTGAACATACTTTAAGTCCTTTTTCTACCTGTTGGATTTCATATCTCAACTTTCTTACCTGAGAGAAGATCATGAAAAAATGACCTGGATTCTTACAAAATCACTGTCAGAAACCAGATCCATAATTTTTCTCCCAACTCTAAAAGAGACTGGAACTCTCTCCATTGTCTTACAACTTTAATTGAAGTTTTTGTTCACATCTTAAACAAAACTCATTGCTATTCTCTGTTTGTGGTCATTGGTTTTCAATTCTATGTGCCAGGTGATTTTTAAGAACTCTCTCTTTTTTCTCCTTGCAGCTTTCTATGTCGCACAGAGCGAGGGGCGGACTGAGAGCGAGTGTGCTTTCGTGTAAGCTTGCAGATCCCGTTGAGGCAAGTAGGAGCTTGTCTGGACAAGGAAACGTTCAAAACTAGATACAGTTTTAAACCCTGGGAAAGAATACACATTTTAACCTCCTTGAAAGTGGGAAATGAGTTTGAAAATTACAGATAAAATTGTATCTTGTTCAAATGTGGTGAGAATGTTCCTTTAAACTGTCATTCTGTTGCCCCCTAGAGTTGACTCCAGGTGAATCCTAAAATCTCCTTCTTATTTAAGTTCATTTCTTAGAAGTCTTTTTCTATTGGCTTGGCCCTCTCTCTTCCCAAGCTGGAAAATGTTTGCATGAATTAATAAACAAGTTTACTCTTTCCCACAAATACCCCTTTCCCCTCTGTCTTGTCTGCTTGGAGAAAGATCAGAACCTCCACAAACGCCTTGGCCCTGTCTCAGACCACTTGGCTGGAGTCGATGGGTGTGGACGGCACGTTCTCCCTGGGCCAGGTGGGGATTGCAGACATCCATGGGCAATGCAGTGCAGCTGCTTTACATGCTGTAGAGCTTTTCTAATCTGGTGCCTTCTCTGATGACACATCAGAGCTAGCCAAAGCTTGTGAAGGCTTGCTGACTCAGGCTTGACACTTGTGTGTCTGAATCAACTGGGAGGAGATCAGCTTCAGAAGTTTCATGAGCGGTGCTGAGTCCTGGGAACTTGCAGGCGTGGGAGACCTCTCGGCTTTGACTGGACACGGCTCCACTCCAGCTGCCTTTGCAGCAGCCCTAGAGCACTCTACTCAGCCCACACCGTCTCCAGTCACTGGTCTCTTGCTTCAAGGCACAGACCCGTCACCACGGTCAGTGTTGATCCAAGGTGTGGGAGGTTTGGCCAACATAATTTGAGTCTGGTGATTTAAAGGTCACCACCCACCGAGACCCACAGCAGGAGTGATAAAAAGGAAAAGTAAGTATTCCAAATTCTGTAAGTCTGGTGTTCGGTGTTGGGAGATAAACTTATCTTGTTGTAGGGTTTTCTCTGGCTTTTACCATGTGCGACCGTGGGGGAGGGATATGAGTTGACCCCCAGTGTGCCCAGATTGTGGTGATTAATGAAGTAATGAAGGACGTGACCATAGGTATACAGATATCAAGTGTACTTGATGAAGGGCTTCTTTCCTGTCCCCCGTGGGGAGGGGTGAGTGTGTTTATCAGGGTGACTGTGAAGGTGGACAGGGAGGGAAGGAAGGCAGGAAAGAGAGCGGTGTAGGGTGAGAATGCCTGGCCCAAACTGTGTCCCAGAGCTGCTGGGCCAGGCCTCCTAGGGCCCTGACCTCTAGCAGCACGCCCCAATGTGCCAACACCTGGGCCAGCATTCCCAGAGCAGGTGCATACGCAGTGCCCAAGGCCCCTAACCAAGGCCTGTGAGGGCTTTGTGTGACCTCCTCACTGCTGCTATGGTAACCTCTCAGTCCACTAGCATTTAACCAAGGAGACACCATGCCTGTCACCAGAGAGACATCACAGTCACTCATTTCTTTTGATCAAGTAGGAATCTATAGGGCTAGCTGTCAAGCTGCACTGAATCAGAGGTGCCTCACAAGGCTTAACTTACACATTTACAGAATGAAGGCTACAAACTGTCAACATCTAAAATTGGGCTTTTTTTTAGCTGAATACAGGCACTTAAACAAGTAAAAGAAAGAAGCATTCTGCCCTGTCAACACAAAGCCCACAACCCCTCTGCCCAGAATCTGCTTTTCTACTGCTCTCCAGAGGCTGCTCTTCCTGATCCTAGTGACTTTGATCTGCATATTCTGTATGCTTTATAAACAGTTGGATGACCTGTGATTTTTCCTAATCTTCTATGACTGGTTCATTTAAGCACAATATTCCTTTCCTAATCTGCTTTGGTGAGGGTTTGTTTTGTTTGTTTTTTAACAATATGCTGTACATATGTTTATCCACCTTTTGCTCTTCTTGAGGAACCTGGAGCTGTTTTTGTCTTTTTAAAAAATATTTGTTTGACTGCATTGGGCCTTAGTTGTGTCATGCGGGACCAGGTTCCTTACTTGTGGCATGTGGGCTTTGTTGCCCCACAACATGTGGGGTCCTAGTTCCCTGACCAGGGATCCAACCCATGTCCCCTGCATTGCAAAGCAGACTTTTAACCACTGGGGAAGTTTCTTGTTTTTGCTTTTTAAATATTTTTATTATAAAGTTTTACATGTTTATTGTAGAAAAATTAGAGGAAATAATAGATAACTCCTCCCCCTCAAAAGAAAGATAAAGAAAATAAAACCCATAATCTCCATTCCCAAATTTTTTAAACTGGTAGGAAACATTCTTTTATTATGCATTTTTAAAAATTGTGGTAAAATACACATCACATAAAATTTATCATTCTAACCATTTTCAAGAGTATGATTTGAATGGCAATAAGTACATTCACAATTTTGTATTAACATCACCACTCTCTATTCCAGAAGATTTTAATCATCACAAATTGAAATTCTGTACTCATTAAGATACAATAACTCCCATTTGCCCCTACCCTAGTCTCCAGCAATCTGTAATTTACTCAGTCTCTATGAATCTAACTATTCTAGGTACCTGGTACACATGGAATCACGCAGTATTTGTCCTTTTGTGTCTACCTTGTTTTTCTGAGGCTAATGTTTTCAAGGTTCATCCATGTTACAATGTGTCAGAATTTCAGTCCTTTTTATGGTTGAGTAGTATGTATGAATTGAATAAATTTACCACCTTTTGTTTATTTATTCATGTCTTGGTGGACAGTTGGGCTGTTCCACCTTTTGGCTATTATGATTAGCTGATCATGGCTGCCATGAACATTTGTGTACACACATTCCACATTTCTGTAAATGTCTTTCCTGACTTTCCAAAATCATCTCTTTATCCATCTTTCTATGTTAAAGCATGTAATTTATAAAATTAAACAAAAAATGTGATTTACAAATACAGGTTATACTATAATCCACTTTTACACTTAATAGTTTATAATCAACTTTTCATGCTATTAAATATTCTACATAGTTTCAATGACTGCCCATTATTTTATTATATGAGCATAGGATAGTGAATGGCTTCCCAGGTGGCTCAGTGGTAAAGAATCTACCTGTCAATGCAGGAGATGCAGGAGACACAGGTTCAATCCCTAGGTGGGGAGGATCCCCTGGAGGAGGAAATGGCAACCCACTCCAATGTTCTTGCCTGGAGAATCCCAAGGACAGAGAAGTTTGGCAGGTTATAGTTCATAGGGTCACAAAGAGTCAGACACAACTGAACATGTATAGAATAGTGAATGTAATCAATGTGATAACATTTGACACTTAAAATGTTTCCCACTTTTTGCTGTTACAAATAATGACTATAGCTAAATTTTTGGCCACATTCTTTATTATTTCTTTGGGGTAAGTTCCTAGATTATTAAGTTGCTGTAATAATGTCACATTATTGAATGTGATGGATTTTGTGATAAGCACTTTATCTTATCTGGTTTATGCAATTACTGTTATTTTGCCCATTTTATAGATGGGACATGAAAGCCAAGTTAGAGGAGATAGATTTGGAGGTGGCTGAGTGGACAGGCTCTGTGGCTGCAGGCTCAAACCCCAGTTGCTACTCCCAGGATGGGCCCTAGCTCTGAGATTCTCCACATTTGTGGTTCCCCTCCAGTAAATGGGGATAATAATACCAACTCCTATTGGCAACTATTAAGACTAAAACAGAGTTTTGCCAAGAGAATGCACTGATCATAGCAAACACCCTCTTCCAACAACACAAGAGAAGACTCTACACATGGATACCACCAGATGGTGATTGATCAGATTGATTATATTCTTTGCAGCCAAAGATGGAGAAGCTCTATACAGTCAGCAAAAACAAGACCAGGAGCTGACTGTGGCTCAGATCATGAACTCCTTATTGCCAAATTCAGACTTAAGTTGAAGAAGGTAGGAAAACCACTAGATCATTCAGGTATGATCTAAATCAAATCCCTTATGATTAGACAATAGAAGTGACAAATAGATTCAAGGGTTTAGATCTATTTAATAGAGTGAGTGCCTGAAGAACTATGGACAGGGGTTTGTGACATTGTACAGGAGACAGTAATCAAGACAGTCCCCAAGAAAAAGAAATGCAAAAAGGCAAAATGGTTGTCTGAGGAGGCCTTACAAATAGCTGAGAAAAGAAGAGAAGCTGAAGGCAAAGGAGAAAAGGAAAGATATACCCATTTTAATGCAGAATTCCTAAGAATAGCAAGGAGAGATAAGAAAGCCTTCCTCAGTGATCAATGCAAAGAAATAGAGGAAAACAA